GGGAGGCGGCCAAGTCACAGCTGGCGCCCGCGAGGGGAACTTTGCGCCGCCGCTGCCCGGCCCCGGGGGAGGGGGTCCGGCCCGGGAGGGGAGCAAAGTTTGCCGGGCTCGGCTGAAGTTCAGGGGCGCTGGGAGCCGGGGCGCGGGGGATTCCGCTGGGAGGGGAGCAGGGCGAGCGGGCCTGCGGAGCGCCCTGCCGCCCGTGGGTGGCGGTCGCGCTTCTGGGGCCCCGGGCCAGCTGCACGGAGGAGGCCGGCGCCTGTCCCTCCGGCCCAGGTTCTGTGATACACTCAGACTCGGACTCTGGAGCAGTCAGTGCATGACAGAACTTGGGCCGGGAGGACGCTGCGCACCCCGGGGCCTGCAGGAGACGTCTGTCTGCGCGCGGAGTGCGCCCTGGAGCTGGCCATGTGGACCCGGGCTGGGCGTCCGGAGCCTCCGGATGAGCCTCTCGGTCCACAGCTCCCGTGGAGCCCTTGGCGGGGCAGGGTCCCCTGAGTTGGGACCCAGCCGAGCTCTCCTCCCCGGTCAGTTGCAGGAACCCTCCCTCTACACCATCAAGGCTGTGTTTATCCTAGATAATGACGGACGCCGGCTGCTGGCCAAGGTAACCCCCCGCCCTGAGCCACCCTGAAGACAGTGCTGCGGCCCCGGGAGAGGGGTCCCCACCCAGCTCCCAGCGACCCCTCTGGGGTCTCGCGGACACAGAGCAGCCCTGCTTAGACCTCTGGCTGCCGCCTTGTCCGGCGACACCTCCTGTTTCTGCTCAGGCTCCCCAACACGTGTGTCACTTCCCTGTCCTCCCACGGGGCAGCAGGCTGTGGCCTGGAAGGTGTCAGCCCGGGAGGTCAGTGGGGTGTGGAGCCTGGGACCCGGGAGCCCTGGTCCCCAGACACACAACTACACTCTTGCTCTGCGTTTTGGTGACCATGAGGATTGAGAGCAAGGATTTAGAAACAGTGGGATCTGGAGAGGGTGTAACCTAAGACTTAAATCTCACAGATGCAGAAAAAGGGGTGTAGAGTTGATAGGCGCATAACCTTCAGTTCCAGTGCTGTTACCATAACTCAAGATTTGCTTTTCTCCAGTGCCGGGGTGTAGCCCAATGGGAAGGCCCTTGGTTATTCTATATATGTGCTACCGAAGAGAGCACAGAAGGCCCTTGGTTAAATCCCCAGGGATTTTTATCCTTTCCGTTTGGAGATAGGGTCTTGATCACTCACGGAGCTGCCCAGGCAGCTCTTGAACTTTCAGTCCTCCTGCCTCAGCCTTCCAGAACACCAGGGTCACAAGTGTGCGGCCCCAGGTTCCAAGATTTTGACTTGAAGCTTGGAGTGATTCTCCCTGGTGCCTTTTAATTCTCTGGTATCAGTCCTAGCAAGCCGTCCACACTGTTAACTACAGCAGAGCTAAAGCATCTAAATTAGCTATGAAACCCACTGTAGATGGTTTTTGTTTGTTTGGGGCTGGAATTTTTTGCCTTTGTAATGTTCAAATAAACTTGCTGGCCCTGGCAGGGGCCCCCAGGGAGACTGCTAATTTGGCTGTAGCTCAAGTGCTAAATCCCACAAACTCCACACCCAGAAATGTGAAAGGTGAGCTGACCACACCTTACCCTAGCAGAGAGCCAGGGAGGATCGGTGATGCGCAAGCCCCCCGCCCCCCGGCCTCCACCCAGCCAAACCCACACAGTTACAGATGAAGAAACTGAGTCAGGGGATAGGCTTACTGAACCCAAATAAAAAAGCGCTGGCAGGCATGCTGGGGCACGCCTGTAATACCAGCACTCAGGAGGCTGAGTCAGGAGGATCGTTGCGAGTTTGAGGCCAGCTTGGGCTGCAAAGTGAGCTCCAGTCCAACCTGGACTGCATAGCGAGACCCTGTCTCAAAAAGCCAAAAAAAAGAGAAAAAAGCGCTGATTTCCTTTTGGTTTATATGCCAGAAACTTCTCTCTTGGTGTTTAATCTTCACCAGTGCCCTGTCTGAAGCCAGATCATCCAGGGTGTAGAAGCCCAGCTGTGGCCCCCATCACTGTGAAATGTGGGGAAGACCCATGACTTCTTCACAGCCGGGGGTAACACCTGTTAAGCAGTTTCTGTTAGGAGGGTTACTGGTCAGGGAGGGCTGCTAGTTCTGCCATCCTTCCTGTAGGATGGTTGATGTGGAAGCAGTGTAAACTCAATGGGGCATGGTAGTGCACACCTGTAAGCCCAACACTTGAGAGGCTGAGGCAGGCAGATCTCTATGATTTTGAGGCAATGGTGGGATACATATGGTAGTGAGTTCAAGGCCATCCAGACTACATAGCAAGACCCTGTCTCCAAAAAATGAATAAGAAGGGCTGGGGATGTCACTTAGTGCTCCCTGGGTCCAACCCGCATTACTGAAAAAGGAAGAGAAGAAGGAGAAGGAGGGAAAGGGGGAAGAAGAAGGCTCTAAAGCAGCCTCACTAGTAGAGACTTGGACTTTCTTTGGTTTAAAGTTTGTAAAGGAGCTGGATGTGGTGGCGCACACCTATAATCCCAGCACTTGGGAGGCCGAGGCAGTAGGGTTACCATGAGTTTGAGTCCAGCCTAGGTTACATAGTGAGTTCAAGCCCAGCCCAGACTACAATGAGACCCTGTCTCAAAAAAAAGTTGTAAAAAGAGCTGAGCATAGTGGTGCACTCTTATAATCCCAGTACTTGGGAGGCAGAGGCAGGAAGATCGCCATCAGTTCAAAGCCAGCGTGGGTTACATAGTGAGTTCAAAGCCAGCCTGAACTAACATAGTGAAACCCTGTCTCAGAAAAGAAAACAAACAGAAACAAACCAAAAATATAAAGTAAAAGCAGTAAAGGAGAGATGGGGCGGGGCAGCAGGGTCCCGTGTGGCTGTTACCCACAATTCCCGCCCCTGGAAGGAGCAGACCCTGAGGAGCGCTTGGACCCCTTCGTCTTCTCCTCTTATAGTATTACGATGACACGTTTTCCTCCTGCAAGGAGCAGATGATCTTTGAGAAAAATGTCTTCAACAAGACCAGCCAGACCGACAGTACGTATTTGCCTCTTTCTCCAGACTCTGAAACAAATACCCTCATCCATCACCGTCAGTGTCCACACCCCCAGCCACCCCTTTCTCTCTGAGGCCGTTTGTCCTCTCCTTCGACCTTCATCCGGGTCTTCCCTGCCCATCGCCACCCCCGCCCCATCATAGAAGGACCCCTCCTGGCTGAGGAAGTTGCCTGTGGGTGGCCCGGCCACCAGCCCCAGGCCAGGGCACTGTTCCTTCCTCTCCATGGGGCCATCTCCAGAAATGGAAGCTCAGGGGGCGGGCAGCCCATCCCAGCGTCCCCAGCACTGGTCTTTCAGGGGACAGGTAGGAGGGTGCAGGCTGGCATCAGGCAGCGGTGGCCAGAGCTGCGTCCCCCACTTCCAGGTGAGATCGCGTTTCTCGGGGGCATGACCATCGTCTACAAGAGCAGCGTGGACCTCTTCCTCTATGTGGTGGGCTCCTCTCAGGAGAACGAGGTGAGCTCAGGTGGGCTCGGGGACACGGAGTCTGTTCTGGGGGCTGGGGTACAGTGGGGAGTCACCGTGGCTCTCCTGCTCTGGCTCCAGGGTGTGGAGGGGCGGCAAGCATGGCTCTTTCTGGGATGATGTGTGCTTGTGACACCCCTTAGCTGCCTAGGGAGCTGGAAATGAAGTCACCGCGTCCTTGTTTCATTTGAGACAAGGTCTCACCATGTAGGTCAGGGTGGCCTTGAACTCACTATGGAGCCCAGGCTGGCCTCAAATTCCTGACGCTCCTCCTGCCTCAGCCTCCTGAGTGCTGGGATGACAGGCATGTGCCTCCATGCCCACCTTTGATTTTTCCTTAGTGTGACCATCATCTACCCAGTCCAGACCCTCTGAAATTCCGTCTCAGGTCAAAATGCAGTTGTCTCCAGCCCAGCTTCTGTGAACAGGGAGGCTGGGGCTGCAGCCCCCATGGGTGGCCGAGGGTTCTTGAGCCTCTGGGCCTCAGCCGCTGTGTCTTCCTCCTCAGCTGATGCTCGTGTCTGTCCTCACCTGTCTATTTGAGTCCCTGAGCCACATCCTAAGGTGAGTGACAGCCTCTGACCTGCAGGGCCTGGCCCAAGGCCTCAGTTGTCCCAGGTGGGTCCCACCTATAGTCCTGAGGTCCCTGCCAGCCTCAGACAGAAGCCCCAAGGCTCTGTCCATTACAACCTCCCTGAGTTGCCTGAGGTCACACCTACGAATACAACAGAGAGCCCGACTCAGGATTTTTTTTGTCTTTTTTGTGGACCTGAGCATCTAAACCAGGACCTTCACACTGAGCTACATTGCCAGCCCTTTTTATGGCTTGAGACAAGGTCTTGCTAAATTGTTCAATTGCCCAGGTGGGGCTCGAACATGCCATCCTCCTGCCTCAGACTCAGGGTTTTTTTGTTGTTGTTTGGGGGTGTTTTTTTGGTGGTTTATTTTGAGACTGAATCTTGCTATGTTACCCCAGGCTGGTCTCAAATTCATGACGATCCTCCTGTTTCAGCCTCCCTTGTGCTGTGATCACAGGCCAGGCAAGCTCAGGGTTTTTGACCAGTTTTCCCAGAATTCTCATTCTGTTTCTGACCCCGCGACTGTGGCCGGGGCAAACCGATCTAAGATAATGCAAAAATAAATGAGCCCCTAAACCGACTGTGAGATGCATTTGGGTCCCGGGTAGGTGTTGGTGCCAAAGCAAGGGAGGCTGGGGAAGCTGGGCTGGGCCCGCCGCCTGCGTGGGGGAGCAGCTCCGGTTCCGGTTCCGGTTCCGGTTCCGGCAGGGGCTCAGGCGCCCTGTCTGCCTCAGGAGGAACGTGGAGAAGCGCTGGCTGCTGGACAACCTGGACGGGGCCTTCCTGGTGCTGGATGAGATTGTGGACGGCGGGTGAGGCAGGCCGGAGAAAGAGGGGCGGTCTATCCATCCGGGACCCAGTGCTCAGCGCCCCCAGCACAGCCCCGGGTTCCCGGTCCCCACCCCCTACCCATGAGGACGGAGTCCGCTGTCTGTAAGCCGAAGTCCAGCGGAGCAAGGAACCCGAGGCCAAGCCAGGACAGCGGTTACCAGGCAGCGTTTGGGGACATCCAGTTTGACCTCCAGGGTCCAAGAGGAGAAGGGCCCCTGCCCTGCGGGAGACCTCAGAGCCTCCTCCCCTGCCCTGCCCCGCTCCAGCTCGGCGCCACCCTCGAGCTCTGTGTGTGGTGGGGAGCGGTAATGAGGGGAGAGAGCCGTCCAGGCTGTGGAGTGAAGCGAGTGGAAGCTTCTTGCATATCTGTAGAACACATAGGTGCCTTTATGGCTTCCTCCATGTTTTGCTTTTTTCCTTTTTTAAATGGCTATTTGAGACAGGGTCTCCCTGTGTAGCTCAGGCTGGCCTTCTTGAATTCCCTATGTAAGCAAGGCTGGCCCTGAACAAGTGATGATCCTCCTGCCTCAGCCTCCCAAGTCCTGGGATAACAGGAGTATGCCAACATGCCGAGCATCTATTTCCCAATTTTTCCCCACTGATAAGCATGGGTGTGGATCTCGGGGTGGAGTGCAGGAGAAGCAGAGCTGAGGACCCCCGGTGGGAGGGAGGGGGTGACTTGGGAGGGGTCCTGGAGGGGAGATGGCACAGTCACACTGAAGAGAGGGCTGCAGCGTGGTCAGTAGAGGAGGCCTGGGGGCCCGAGATGCTGATATTCCTCCGGTTCTTCTGACTTGCAGTGTGATCCTGGAAAGTGACCCCCAGCAAGTGGTCCAGAAAGTGAATTTTAGGGTGAGTCTTCTCCCCCTACCTCCTCAGGGGGGGGCAGCCACTGCAGGATCAGGTGATAAAAACTCAAGGAGCAGTGGCGCACACCTGTCATCCCAGCACTCAGAAGGCAGGAGGATCACTGCGAGTTGGAGGCTAGCCTGGGCTGTATAGCGAGACCTTGTCTCAAAAAGTGGAGCCAGGGGTAGAGCTCAGTGGCACAGTGCCTGCCTGGCAATCTCGAGGTCCTGAGTTCAATCCCCATTACAAAAAAAAAAAGGCAAAAAAGAAGACCTTCTTGTCCCCTCTCCCTGGCAGGACCCCAAGCCCTCCCCACCCTCCCAGGTAGGAAGTGTAGCCGGGAAATCAGGGCGTCCTCAGGGTACTGTGAGGCTGCCTTGCCCCGGGGCCTGAGGCTTGGGTGCCTTCTTGTGTCCAGAAGGGGCCTCTCACCCCATCTTTTATTTCCTTCACCCCTGCAATTCCATGCACCACAGGGGTCCCCGGGTCCTGGTGTCCGAAGGCCGGGTGCCAGGACTTCTGCGGACCTAGGACACGGGAGCAGCTCTAGACCTCACTAACTCCTGCACCCCCAGCCCGCAGCCCCTCTTCACCCCTCTGGCCCGTACCCTTGCCAAGGGCTGACCTCCCCCCCCTTGACTGCCTGCCTTGCAGACCGATGACAGTGGCCTGGCGGAGCAGAGTGTGGCCCAGGTAGGTCCCCTGATCCATCTGCCTTGGCCAGAAGTGGGCTGGAGGTGGGCAAGGTGGGCACCCCGCGGGCTGTCAAGGCCAGGAGGGGGTGGGTTGGTGACGGGCTGTCTCCTGGGGAGAATCACAGACCCTGCCTGCTCTCCAGGTGGGCACCTGGGCGCTCCTATGGGGGATGGGACAGTGCCGCCTGCTGCCTCTGCTCTGGGGCAGGCTTAGTTGGATGGGACCCAAAATGAATGGCCTGTGTTTTGTTTTATTTTTAAGATGTTCTCATTATGCTGCCCAGCTGCCTTGAACTGCTGGGCTCAAGTGATTTTTCTGCCTCAGCCTCCTGAGTAGCTGGAACTACAGCACACAGCTGTGTTAAAGGATTCAGTCCCTTATTGGCCAGTCGTAGTGGTACATGCCTGCAATTCCAGGACTTGGGAGGCTGAGGCAGGAGGATTGCAAATTCAAGGCCATCCTGGGTCACACAGGGAGATCTTATTTTATTTTGTTTTGTTTTTTTCGTACCGGGAATCAAACTCAGGACCTTGCGCTTGCCAGGCAGGCACTGTGCCACTGAACTATATCCCCGGCCCGAGATCCTCTTTTTTTTTTTTTTTTTCCGGGTACCGGGGATTGAACTCATGACCTTGTGCTTGCCGGGCAGGCGCTGTGCCTCTGAGCTAAATTCCAAGCCCTCCAGATCGTCTTTTAAAGTAAAATAAAAACTAAAAATGTCTAGGGATGGAGCTCAGTGTTCCCTGGGTTCAGCCCCTAGTACTGCAAAAGACAAGCAAACACAGAGACAGGATCTAACATTCCCCACTCAGCAGCTGACGCCTCGCCCCGAGTGACCCCCGCCCTACTCTGCATGGTGCTGATGAGGTGTACGCGGATGTGTGTGGCCGGGGCGGGGTCCTGAACCTGTGGCCAGGTCAGCGCTCGGGCTGCATGGACTTCCGGTTAGGCCGACTGCCTGCCCGCTCCGCCGGCCTGCGAGCCTCTCTGCTCAGACTAACCCGCTTCTCTGGAGCGTCAGGCTGCCACTGACTCCTCCTCCCGCGGTGGCTATGCTGAGAGCCCGGGCCAGCTGGTGGGTGCCCACTTTCCGCACTGCCCTCTGCTTCCGAGTGTGCCCTCATCCCGGCAGGAATGAGAGCAACTGCATGGCCATATTTAGGGTGCACGGCACTTGGTGGGGGGCATTGAGCAGAGCAGATATGAACATAGTGCTGAGCTGGGTATGGGGGCGCACGCCTGTGATCACAGTCCTGGGGAGGCTGAGGCAGGAGGATCGCTGAGAGTTGGAAGCCAGCCTGGGCTACAAAGTGAGTTCGAGGCCAGCCTGAACTGCATAGTAAAACCCAGTGTCAAAAAGACAAAAAAAAAAAAAAAAAAAAAAAAAAAAAGACCAAAATAATAAATACGAAGCAATAGTGGCAAATGGGGATAAAGAGAAAGATTCCCTAGGAGAAGTTGAGGAGCCTCCTGTCCCTGAGAAAGGAAGAGGGTCCTAAACTCCGCGGACTGCAGCCTTCTCACTGCAGCTCGCCCCCGCTGGTTGGCACTGTCGGCGCAGGTTGGGCTGGGGCGCCGGCCCCCGCCAGGGCCGCCCTGAGGTCTCGGGGTGCGGCCGAGCCCTGCCTCCGCGGGCACGTGGCACCGTGGGCGGCAATCCGCGTGGCACGGAGGGGGCGGGGCGCCGCCGGGGCTGCAAACGCAGGAACCAGAGAGCTGGGCGCGCCGGCCCTTCCCGCCCCCGGGCTGCCCTCCTGCGGGCAGCCAGAGATGCGCTGCTGCCACCTAGTGACCGGGGGACCCCGGCCGCCTCGCCGCCCGGAGAGCCGTTCCGGTCTCCCCAACTTTCTCTCTGCCTCCCGCACCACCCCAGGTTCTGCAGTCCGCCAAGGAACAAATTAAATGGTCGCTACTGAAGTGACGGCAACCCTGGCCCGAGGCCAAAGACCCCCGGGGCTCCGTGCGCTGTCGCCGTCACCCTTCCCGGGGACCTGCGGGCCCGCTGAGCTGCCCTTCCTGGCCCCCGAATAAACCCGCTTGGTCCCCGCCGAGGGCCTCCTGCTTGCGCGGCCTGAGAGCGGTGCGTTCGGACGCGGGCTCCTGCGCGACACCCAGGGCCGCGCAGCCTCGCCGCTCCCTGGGGCGTGTGGGGCTGCGACACGGAGACCCCCGTGCACGGGGGAGGCCGCGTATGAGTGTGTGGCACGGTGCCGTGGCCGCAGTGCCTGCTCCCCGCCGCGTCTCCCGCGCAGGCACCGCCTGCGTCCCTGTCCCCGAGCCCCGCGCTGGCCTCGGGCTCCGGCTGCGGACAGCACGCTTGCTGCCAACCCTGGGGGGCGCGGCCGCCCACGCCCCGCCCACTCCCCGCCCTTCGCCGGCCCGCGCAGGAGGAAGCCCCGCCCCGGGACGGCATCCGCGATCCTGGAGCGCCACCTGGAGGGACAGGTGGGAAGTGCCCCCCGCCGGTCGGCTGCCCTGAGTAACCCCACCCGTCTGTTCCTCAAGGGCCTCTAATCCTTGCTGCGGGGCGTCGCCCTAGCAACCAGCTTGCGTGACCTGTCCTACCAGTTCTGCCGCCAATTTGGGCGCGGGCATTTCCGCCCGCTGCACCAGTAAATGGCGAGCCGCGGTTGTGAGTAGAAGAGGTTTCTGTTGTTACCGGGTCCTGCACCGCGAGACTTTAGGATCTGATAGTTGCAATGGATTCTTTGAGGCAGGGTCTTTCCTTGTAGTTCAGACTGACCTTGAGCTCACTGCGTAGCCCAGGCTGGCCTTGAACTCTTGGCGACCTTCTTGCCTCAGCCTCCCAATACAAGCGAGTGCAATTACAGCTGGCTTTGAATTTGTGTACTTGTGCTATTAGAGAAAATGACAGATATGGTAATGCGAACATTGTATATAACCTTTTCCAGTAAGTTATACAAAAAAGCAGCTCGAAAGGAAGAAAACTGCAGTGTGTAATTAAATGGAGCAGTTCAGGGGCCCGGGTGGCGACACGATTGGAAAAATTCTCCAGAAATATTCCAGCGGACTTGGGACCACACCCAGCGCCTGGCTCCCGCCACCGCCCTCCCACGGCCGCAGGAACGGGAGGGGCGATCGCTTCCTGGTAACCGGGCCGTGCCATGCAGGGGGCACCGTGCGGAGCCGGGAACTGGGGGACGCGCGGGTGGCGCCCCGAAGACAGGCTCCATCCTGCTCCGCCGAGGACAGCAAAGCTCGGCACGGGGTGCCAGGGCCTGCCGCAGCCTCCGCAGCGCCAGCCCCCGGGGTCCCTGTGGGGACTGGGCTTCCCAGCGCCCCCTGCCCTCAGGGCGTTCGAGTCCCCAGCCGCGTGGGGACCGCTGCCCACCCCTCACCCCCAGGACCCCGCCTTTGCAGCCGCGCCCGCCGCGTCCCGCAGGCGCCCACGAGGTGGGGCCGGCAGCGAGCGAGAGGACCCCGCGATGACCGGGCCTCTCCTCGTCCTTCCCTCTGTGCCCGCGTGGGCCACTCGGGGGTCCCGAGTGTGCGTGGAATGGGGAGCTCCGGGCGCCCTTTTTCTCCCACTAAATGGCACCAGGACACGCCCAGAGCCGAGAACCGGCAAGCCCAAACCCAGCCGGGGGCGCGCGAGGACAAGTCGGTGTGACCTGCCCCTCCACACTTTTATACCACCCGGGCAGGACGCGGCCCCGCCCCAGCCCCGGCTCGGCCCAGGGCCTCCCGCTCATTGGCTGGTAGGAAGTCAGGGCTGCTCCGATTGGCTTGCATCCTGACAGTGACGGATGGCTCATGGGACCAAGCCACGATGGGGCGGGGTCTCTGCAGGGCGGAGCGGATCGGCAGGGGTGTAGCCTGAGGCCTGGATCCACTCTTTGAAACTCTGTAGTGGGAAAAATCCTGCCTCTCAATTCCCACTGGATAACCCTTAACTCGGGATCCTGGGGTATGAGAATAACTTTCCTTCCAACCCTCCTCTCATTCATGCAACCATATTTGTTTGGTTTTCTGTTGGTTTGAGACAGGGTCTCGCCATGTGGTTCAGGCTGGCCTGGAACTTACTATGTAAACCATGCTGGCCTTGAACTCACAGCGACCCTCCTGCCTCAGCCTCCTGACTGCTGGGAAGACAGGCAGGTGCCACTATGGCCATTCATTCGATTATTTGAGCATTTGCCCTGAACCAGGCCCCGCGGAAAGTAAAACACCTACCAGATCCCCAGCGGGGTGGGGCTGGAGTTAAGAGGAGAGATGCGATTTGAGAGATATTCAAGGTAGAAATAGCAGTGGTGCTGGGGATTGAGCCCAGGCTGAGCGGGCGCTTTGTACTCTCCCAGCCGCTCACGGGAGAAACGCCTCGTGTTCTAGCTTCATCTATCGGGGGAAGGCACTCCCGCAGCTTATGCTTCAGAGGCATGCTCCTTCCCGAGGTCTTTTTCTTTTCATTAAAACAAAAGAAAGGGACTGAAGATGCAGCTCAGAGGCAGAGAGATTGCCTAGCTGCACGCTCAAGACCCTGGTTCCATCTACAATGCAAAAAAAAAAAAAAAAAATCGCACCAAATTATATTTGAGCATTTGTCTGTTTCCTACGACTTCCCCATCTTAGATGAGGACCCCAGGGAACGGCAGTGACTGTGAAAGTGTGAGCCCTCGAGTGGACTCTGGTTAGGAAGGGCTGTAGTGATAATAATAACAAGCCGGACGTGGTGGTGCACGCATGTAATCGAATCCCAGCAGTCGGGAGGCTGAGGCAGGAGGATTGTTGCGAGTTTGAGACCAGCCTG